CTCCTCCTCCTCCTCCTCCTCCTCCTCCTCCTCCTCCTCCTCCTCCACCTCCTCCTTTACCCTCGTCAACCTCCCGCAACGAAGCGGAGCACCTTCCTTCTCTCTCCCTATATGAAGTCAGCTGGCTCTCACTCGGCTACTTTCCGTGCGAGAAAGAAGCTTTCTCGGCTTTTGTCGGCGTCGAAGCTCGAAGCACGGTACTTGAGTGCAATCACCTCGTGCATCCGAGTCTCCTTCTTTGACCGTATACGTGTGTATTTTGTATCTATATACGTAGTTATATATATATATATATATATATTTATTTATTTATTTATTTATTTATTTATTATATATAATGTTGTAGATACTCTAGGACATTGCTAGCTCACGTTAAATATCCGTGATAAACACGTATTAATTGTTAAAGCTCAATTTATTATTACAATTTTTTTCACATTTGATATATATATATATATATATATATATATATATATATAACGAATTAATTAATAATAGAACATTTTCTAGACTGTAAATTTTTGTAATAAGACAATACAGCTATAAATATATTACTATGAATAAAACGATATAAGCGATTGATAAAGTTCGATCGATTTAATATTCGATTAAAAGTGAAATGAAAAAAGTGAATGATTTTTTGTTCTTCCTTTCTTTTCTTTTTTTCTCTTTTCCCATCTTTTTTTTTTTTTTTTTTTTTTTTTTTTTTTTTTTTTTCTTTTTTTCCTTTAAACAAATCCACAGGAACATTGTCCACTCGTGATCGATCGGTGTTGCTTCGTGTCATTCAATTATCGCCTCTACGCGTTAATTATTCGTTTCGGTCGTTCCTCTCTCTACCATAGAAAGAGAGCTCCCGAGGGATCTATCGAAGAGAGGATTCAAAGTTTTGCGCATGACACGCACGTACGATCACCCTCGTGCACGCCGAGGGATAACCAACGGGAGAGAAGGAGAGAGAGAGAGAGAGAGAGAGAGAGAGAGAGAGAGAGAGAGAGAGAGAGAGAAAGATACAGAGAGACAGACAGGCAGAGAGGGAGAGAGAGAGACTCTGTATACTACCCTCCCTCCGGTTACCCTCCCGACCACCCTCCTCCGGCTTCCCTTATGCGCCACGGACCGTATAAGAACCTTACGCCGCGTCGTTCTTTATTCAAATTCCTCGTTGAGTTCGCGCGAGCCGGAACATCGGCCGGCTTTTCTTCGCGTCGCTGCGCGGAAAGTCTCTCTTCGCCTAATCGCCTAACAACCTAAAGTAGACACCGTTCTAATCTCTCTCTCTCTCTCTCTTTCTCTCTCTCTCTCTCTCTCTCTCTCGCCTCTCTATTCTCCGTCTATCTATCCTCTTTTCTCTTTTTCTCTTTGTTTCAGAAAAAAAAAAATTCGTCTCATTACGTATCCTCATGTCGAGGAAAAAATTAACGAGAGAAAAATTGATCGTTTAATTTTGTACGATTATTTACTTATTTATTTATTTGTTTATTAATTTTTTTTTCTTTTTATATATATATATATATATATATATATATATATATATATATATATTTCATGTGCCTTTGTTTCCCTTTTTTCTTTTATTCTTTTTATTTTATTTAATTTTTTTTTTTTTGTGTGTCTTTTTTTTTCTATCTATCTAACACCCAAGTTTCCTCCAAGTGATGAAAATTGACACGCGGAGGAGTATATTCGTAACATCGAGTCGATTTCGTATATTCGTAATACGAAAGTATTGATAGCAGAGATTCGTGATCGACCACAAGTCAGTGAGTTTATCGTGGATTGGAAAAAAAAATCATTACGTTGCGGGATAATAAAATAAAATCGTCCTTTATCGCGATACCTGTCAATGTAATCTTTTTTGCTTTTTTTTCTTTTTTCTATTATCTTTATTTTTTGTTAGTCTTTTTTTTGTTTTGTTTTCTCCAACGAGCATTTCCAAATACAATTTTTAATTCACTTATTCATGCTCGACAAATCGTGTTATTAAGTAGTCTAATAATTATTTGAGAATTCGTGACAAATCTTCGCTTTGGTGATTCATTAAAGTGATCATAGTATTTTGTTTTTCTCTCAGATGTCTCTCAACGTGATCATTTTCCTTTATTTTTTTTTTCTTCTTTTTTCTTTTTTTTTTTTTTATTTTTTTCTTTTTTTATTTATTATTCTTTAACGTGTGTTTCCAAATCGAATTAAATCCGTTTCTTCGTATTCGACGATAGTGTTGTAAAGATAACAATAATATCATTTTGAAGTTCGTTTTTAATAAAGAAAAATTTTACGACCATTGATTACAGCCGAGAGGATGTTTTTGAAAAGAAAATTTACCGATCATCAACATTTCGTTCGTGAAAGTGTGTTCGTTCGTGCGATAAAGAAAGAATAGACAGATAAGTCGACGGATTTTCTCGGTCATTGACTTTGCTAACGAGCCCAGCGTCCAAAGTTGTTCCGTCCGTCTTCTTCTTCTTCTTTTTCTTCTTCTTTAGTTCTTCCTCTTCCTCTTCCGTATTTTACGCTTTTCTCTTCTCTCGCCCTAACAAAAGTCGACTACGGCTTGTAAAAGAAAACTAGAGAGATAGAAAGAGAGAGAGAGAAAGAGAGACAAAAGAGTACGTACGTAGCATGTAATTGGTCCACCAACGCGTTTTCGCACCTTCTTGACCTCGATTTTGTTAATGTAAAAGCCACATTGAGAGAATACCACGTACACAAATATATATATATATATATATATATATATATATATATATATAAATATGTATATATATATATATACTTACGTAAATCTTTAATACATATGTATATATATAAAAGTAAAACTTTTTTTTTTTTTTCCTTTAATTTTTTTTCCCTCAATTCGTTTCGAGTCAACGACTTTTCAAAGTTGATCTTAATCAAACTTGAACGATATTCATTTCGAACAGAGAGAGAGAGAGAGAGAGAGAGGGAGAGAGAAAGAGAGAGACTTATCTTTCCTTCGACTTTCTTTTCTCGTCCATCGAGTCTTGTTGTCAGTGTAAAGAAGAGAAAAGCTAAAGTCTGTGATCCGGTTCGACGCTTTAATTCACCTATATGGAAAGGAACGAAGTTATTAGTAATGCTTGTTCAACGTCCAACACGATTTACTCTCACGAATGACACACATTTGTAAATTTATTTCTCGACGATCGACGACAACGACGATAACGACGACGACGACGACGAAAAACAAGAAGAAGAAGAAGAAGAAGTGGAAAAGGAGGAAGAAAAAAAAATAGTAGAAATAGAAATAAAACGAGACGAATATCGAAGTCATGACAGAGAATGAAAATGAACGAAAGAGGATGATTACGATTTGTTCAGGAGAGAGAATCGTAAAAATGTCGACGATCCTGTTAAGCTGTATGTCGAATTGCTTCCTCGATGGAATTGGAAAGTTCGAAGGTGCAGACGGTATTATAGATGAACGTTCATTATAAAAATTTTAACAGGATATAGCAACGTAATCGCGTTTAGCTTTCATCTTTCGTAGGATAATAATATGTCTTTTAATTATAAATCAATCTCGTTAATTCTCGAGAAAGTCATTTGTCTTATTCGTGTTATTTATTTTCCCGATCGAATATTACATACATACGTGTATTTTACGTAATTATTTATTTATATAAATATTATTCATGATAAATAAACGTGTTCAAATTTTATTGATATATATACATGTATTATATATTATATATATATATATTGAGTTGTCCAGAAAGTTTGTGCCGATTTGTGGTAGGTAACGTAATGACAAAATCGGTACGAATTTTTCGGACAACCTAATATATATATATATATATATATGCCTATATACGTATAAGATAGAAACGAAGAAATCATTGTCTCTTTGTCTTCAAATAGCCGACCTTGCGAGAAGAACTAAGAGCCCTTTGGTATCGTGCCAATTTCTCTTAGTCGATTGTTAAAACGTATTTAATCGATATTTCTACGTCCGTATAACGTGCTGATAAAAGATTCTCGAACGATCGGGAAATATCTTTTTCAAGGTTTCACATTGATAATCCGAGACGGATCGTTTACAATAATTCAATGAATCGAATTTATACGTAGTTATAGATATATATGTACGTCATACAGATTCCGCAATTCGAATTCAACAATTTTTTTTTTCTGCGAAAAATCGAATATCTAATAAAATCAAATTTGTTTCCTTTACAAAATTATTATCGTTTCTTTTTTTTTCTTTTTGTTTTTTTTTTTTTTTTCAATTTAAAAAAAAATGTAACGAAAGAATTTTTTTGTAAAACAAAAAAAAAAAAAGGAAAAAGAAAGAAGCGGGGTAAAAAAAAAAAAGAAAAAACATGCCACTCGAAGGTAAAATTTCAAATCATCGCTTGTCGAAAGCCTTGAAATCTGAACAATCGACGATCCAATGAAAAAATTTACATCGAGTTTTATATATTATTCCAACAACAATAACAACAAACAAAATTTATTCCTTCGCCGTAAGATCGTAAGAATTCCAGGGAAAAATTTAAACGTCGATACGTATAACCTAAATATGTCTGTAGGCTATGATGCATTTAATCGATAATAAAATTGTACCGATTTAACTTTATCGCACGAGAGAAAAATAATAATATACGTTTGTATAAATTACGAATGTCGTATCTCGAATTAATCGACAAATGTAATATTAAATGAATATTTTTAATAGATCTTTTCGTATCAAGCAAATATAAGATTTTGTATTTCTTAAAGAGAAAAATTTACAATTTGATTAAACCTTTCATAGCAAAAGTTTCTAAGAAGATAGATTTTGTTGGGACGATGGGAGGAAGAAGAAGTGAAGAAAAGGGAATAAAATTAATTTGCGAAAAGTTTGCATTCGATTCGAATAAGATTGAATCTCTTAGTGAAAAATCTGTACGATCGTGGCTCGTTTTCTTTCATTCATTCTTTCTTTCTTTATTTCTTTTTTATTTTTTGTTTTAATTTCTCTATTTACTTTGTTACAGGAATGCACTGCCTAGGTGCGGTGACAGGAAGCACTCCCAGCCCAAATGGGGCTGGTAGTCGAGGCGGTATTCTTAGTATGTTCCGAGCTCTTGGAGTCCTTGTATGTGAAGGGAGAATCCAGGGTCCTCCGCGTGGCTACAAAGAGGGTCCCCATTGTGCGCCGCCCATGCAACCTTTCCCAAACAACCACGTCTGCGAAGAGGACAATTATTTGGTGAGTCGTTTTGTGAAGTCACGTCTTCGTTAAAAATCTGAACAGGACCACCGACCTTCCTCGTAATTTCGTTTTGTGATATTAAACGTTTCGAATGAACAATAGAAAAATATATTCAAGCGCGTATATACACATTTTTTTTTTTCTTTTTTTTTTTTCTTTTTTTTTTTTTCTATTTTTTGTTCCCTGGGTTTTTTTTTCATTTCTTTTTTTTTTTCCTCTTCTCAAATGAAGGAATCTCAAAATGATCATTCAAATGGATTTGATCATTAAAGCAAGTTCTACTCGCATTTCTGTGGTAGAACAGATGGTTGTACATTTGCACGTTGTACGATCGTAAGTACAATTCCAGGAAAGGACGGGTCACGCGAGACGATGAATCGCACTCTATACCTTCTTTGCAGAGATATATATGTATATATATATACATATACATATACATATATATATATATATATATACATACATAGATGGGCGCTTATATATGACTCACGATTCACGACTCGCATTACTCTCGCATTGTCAAACCACGCGTGTCTCTGATCTCTCTTGGTTTTCAACGAACGATAGTTCAGTTTACGAGGAAAAGCAGAAACGCGACATCGCGTGGTGATGATGGTGACGGTAGTAGTGTTAGTGTCGATGGTGGTTTCTGGTTAAGAGAAGCCAGCGTACGAGTTCTAAACCAAAAGAATTTTTGGATATCGAGTTCGATGGCGTTCGTTGTAATTGGAGCTCTTCCGAAGGATCAAATTTTATTCGATAAGTTTCGGGATTGGTCCGAAGTCTGGTCTCTTAACCACCGATATCGATATCGATAAACTCGACGATAGATTTAAGGTTACATATAATTTGTCTCGATTTGCCCTCTCTCTCTCTTTAATTGATATGATTTCTACTATCGGTACAGTGCGACCGGTATCTTGTCCTAGTTCGAGAACTCGCCGATCGAACTGCGATCGGATCGTTCCTATGCGTCGAAGTACTACTCTGCAGCAATTGTCAGTGCGGCTTGGCAAAAGCTACCAGCAAGCACCCAATTTGTCCTGTACCGTCCTTATCCATCTCGCCATGGCAACAAACTTCGGAACTTTTGCTCGAGTATTGGTCCATTTGCGTTGTACCAAGCAAGTAAGTTCACTTATTATGTATATGTATATATATATATATATATATATATATATATATATATTAATTTTTATATTTATTATAAACATTGAGTTTATATATTTTTTTGAATATTATAATTAACACGATGATCATCTATCCGTTTCGCAGGAGCCCGGAAACGATGAATTTCCAAGGACTTTATCAGGCAGTCCGTTCTAGATTACATTTTAGCCAAGTTGCCGCCTGGTGGTCCAGAAGCAACGGGATAGAACCGAATTACGTTGCAACAAGAGTCGTGCCGTACAACGAGGATAATCTAAGGAAATTTCGGGACTCGCCGGTCGAACATACTTTTCCTCTAGCTGGTAACGGCGACGGAAGTTCCATCAAGGTGAGATACTTTTCTTCCTCTTGTTGCTTCACCTTTTCTCTCTTTCTCTCTTTTTCTCTCTCTTCAATTTTCATGAAAAGAAAAAAAAAGAAAAAAGAAAAAAAAAAATTAGCACAGACGTTATTTTAGCAGACGCTAGTGCCGCTCGAAATATATGTTATTTTCGGATATGGTCCATCTCCCGATCTCTGGATCAGATGCGTGCACGTGGACTTGCACGATTTGTTTAAAATATATATATATATATATCGTTTCTGCAAGAAAACAGTTCTATCGTTAAAATTCGAGTCAACGTCTGCATTTTAGATCCTCTTATAGACGTCTCGTATATGATGTTGCATTTACGTTTTATACTATGTATGTACATACGTAATGCATATATCACGAGAGAGCGTCGGAAGTAATCTGTTATTTCTCGCGAGATCCAAAGAGCGAGATCACAGCGTCCATTGAACCATTGACGATATACAGGGTGTTCTATGCGAATTGACGTCGCTACCAAGACCTTTGCGTTTCGTCTCCTCGACTAGTGTCTACGAACGAGATATCGAATACGTTTCGTCCTTTTGGAAATCGATCATCGATGCTTCTCAAAGACATCGACAACGGACCTGCTCCGTCTTGATAAAGATATCGCATCACCCCGTACATCCGCATGGTGGTTTCTCGTGAACGAACCGTATTACCTTCCTCGCTTCTATTTTAGTGCCCGAGGACACTAACTATACCTACTTTTAACCAGCAGATGAGTCACCGGCTACCCAATCTTGTACGAGCGGTGTGAGTGCATTTAATGGACCTGAAGAGGATTTGTGCTGTAAATTTTAGGTCACCGTTTGGGCATTGCCACGGATGGAAGAGGTGCCGATACTTAGCTGCTCGTTACATCCGACGAAAGAGAAAGACGAGGAAGGTGTCGCTAGGGCGCTAACTCCAACCAAAACGATTCCCGTGGTATCGACGAACACTTCGCAAAACTCCGACGGCCTCGTTATGCCGGGTGAGTAATATAAAGATAAAAACTTAATAGATCGTCCCGTATCTACTTATCTCTCTTTCTCTCACTCTCTCTCTCTCTTTCTATTCCTTTCTGAACGACGATCGGATAATATCAAAAGTCGTTTCGGTTGAACGAGACGATAATCGAATGTTTGTTTGTATGTTTAAACAGTACTGCTGGACGATAGGCTTCATACACCATGCAACAAGCCAGGCAAACATCATTGTCGTTGCGAGGAAGAAGATGCTTCTCCGCCTTCCCCATCGATCGCCAGGCCTATCGGCGAGAGAAAACGTCGTAGATCCCTTCCTTGTGGTCCACCGGATGTTAGTCCTAGCGTAACGTTTCAGGCTATGCCACTGCCGGCCGTCCGGGAGTCAAGTGTACGAGAGCAAAGAGATAACGATCGTTTGATAACAAGTTCGAGCTCGAGTTATCCTAGATCATCCTCGGAGATGTTGAATAATCGTGGAGTCACGGCTATAAAATTTTCAAATGGACATCATCAGAATCGGTTCGAGGAGAACACGCTTAAGAGTCGTAATAATCTAAATTCTGACAATCTCGAGCGTTGCTTTAAGACACAATTGAGTATCGAGGAACGAGATGGTAACGTTGAAAAACGTTACAAGCTTACACTCGAGAACACGATGAACGGTGCGGAAGCGAAATCGTGCGAATTAGGAGAAGAGAAAACGCGACGATCGGAGAAAGGATGTGGTGGTGGTGGTGGTTGTGGTAACGAAGGTGGTGGCGGCGGCGGTGGCGGTGGTGGTGGTGGTGGTGGTGGTGGTGGTGGCAGTACCGGTGGCGGATTTCGTAAGAACATTAATTGCACTGGCACACCGGCTGAGAGTAAATCGATGGAAAAGAATGGTCTCTTCGAGAACCTCATACCATTTAATTCTTCCTTACCGTGGTCATTCGTCGAGTCTTGGAACAATAGCGGTGCCAATGGCAAGTGCGGCTTTCAGAGTTTACGAGGACCAAAGGAAGGACGTTTTAATGGATCATCGAGAATGTATTCCGTGCCTGCACCACCTGTGATAGATCCCTTCAAACGAGCTACGCCTTTCCACGAATCCAATCCAGGACCTTCTACGTACGAGAGCACATATATCAAATCTAAGCAAGATACTTTTGAATCGCCCTGTACGGTACATCAAACTCGATCGAAATCCTCGATAAATGGTTTCGGATGCGGCGATTGTAAGGAAACATTTAGGAACGATGAGAATCCAAGATGTCGTGGGAAGCCTAACAAAGATTTGAATCAGATGATGTCGAAGCTGTCTTTCCCGGATGGACAACAATCCGAGAAGGACAAGGCAAAAGAGGAAGGTGGTATTCTGGATTGGTTTACCAGAGTACCTAGTCGTGTTCTTGGAGTTTCACCTAACAATGGTTACGTTGAAAATAGTAAAGCCAAAGACACGAACTTGAAATCTCAGGATCAGCATGGCAACGAGGTCAAGTTTAAAAACTGCAACTTGGAACTTAGCCAGCGTGAATTCGACGAAGTTTTGGCGGTGTTAAGAGCCAGGACACCCTCCGGACGTAAGAGAACTCCTTTGAAAACCATCAAGAGACGCGATAGATACGAGAAATCCCTCGAGGATGGCTCCTTCGAAAAGCCTTCCGCTAAGTTTCCTACCAATTTGGATTCCAATGAATATCTTGTTGTCAATCATGTGGATGCACGGATTAAACCATGCGAGAATTGCAATCACAGGTATTGCAAGAAAAACGAGCATCGATTAGCTGACAAAAGCGTCGCATTAGATCGCGTTTATGGAAGTAAAAATATTTATAATCCAACCCACGAGAGGCAGGACAAGCTAGGAAATTATATGAACGACGAATCGAAAAGCGATAAATCTTGCGTAACGGACAAACGTGTGAGTGCTAATCCAGTCGATTGTTTACAAAGTGTATCGAATAAGGCAGATGTATTATTGGGGGCCATATTGCGAACTAGCAAGGATCGGAAAGGTCTGTCGGATATTTCCAATGGGACCAGATCTCAAATTGCCACGTTGAATGCGAAAACCGATAACGAAACTAATTCTAGGTTGGAACAGCCAAATTCGATCGGGAAACTCGAACATGATATGAGAATCGCACCGTACGAAGACGACAAGTCGTTGCCGTTGGCATTGAATAAAAAATTCAATCGTTTTCGTCAACTTTTTAAAAAGGAACAAGAAAAGAAGGCGACGGAAGATAATCTTCAACAGCAACAACAACAACAACAACAACAACAGCAACAACAACAACAACAACAACAACAGCAGCAGCAGCAGCAACAACAACAACAACAACAACAAGCACAACAATGCGTGCGAAATTCTTCTCAACGTTTAAACAGTATGAATTTAAATTTGTCTTGCAATAACATTCAGACTGGTAATTCGGTTGACAATACGACACGTAATTTGAGAGAGGTCAAAATAAAGAGAAAAATAGATTTTTCGAATTTTCCGGAGGAGATAGGAAGGATCGAGGAACGATCAGAATCGTCGTGTTTAGATTCTAGTACAAATGGCGCACATCAAAACTCAAGGATACATAGTACAAATTACAAGGAGGATCATCGTAGTAACGTCTGCAACAAGGGAGATCCCATGAACAGGCTGTACAGTACAAATCAAATTAAAAAGGACGATTACGAAGATGAACACGGAGATCAAACTAATCGAGATAATAAAGCACATAATAATAAAGATCCTGTTCCATCCGCCGTTAAAATTACGCCGGTCTCTTTGCAAAACAGTTTCTCGTCTTCCAAAATACGAAATAACAATCACAAGGCCGGCTTCAGCAGTAGCAGTACCGAGGACGATGAGACACTCGACAAAGCTGTTCCTTCGGCGATCGAGCAAGAAAGGTTTCGAAGGTCTTTGGAGAACGCGGCGTCAATGGTATTCCACAGTAGGACTGGTTTGCCCCTTACATCGAGTCCCGCCCCATTGAGAAGAGGTAGCTGCTGTTTCGACTATGACAGTAGCTTGAATTCCGTTTCCTCGAAAAGAAGGTATGTAAATATAAACGAACATCAGGAAGTGGATTAATTTTCTTAAAACAAACTTTCTAATATATTCGTTTTATCCTTTAAGAATGATTTTTCTCTCTCTTTCTTTTTTTTTTTTCTTTTTTTTTCTTTTTGTCTTTTTTTGTTTCGTTAGTGCGCTCTTTGAATTGAATACACCACCAAGTCCAGGTGCGGTCTCGTTGGAGGAGACCGATCGAGAAACAGAGAATGCATGCGAAGGCGAAGAACCACCGAGAAGACGTTCGACCTCACGAAACAGGCCACAGAGTCATGCTCTCTTAGGTAGCTTCGAGGAATCAGCTTTGAATGGTAGACTCGAACCAGTATCGACTGTTCACGGGTTCACAGCGGAACTCGGTGCGAGTGGTTCCTTCTGTCCTAAACATCGAAAGCTTCCAGTTACTGTGTTCTTCTATACTCTCGGGGACAATGACAAAGTCTCTACACCGTACCTCGTACGTATCAATTCTTTCCATAATAAACTATCCCAGCTTACAATGTTCTTTCCTTTATTATAGGCTCATATTAATCTAGGAAAGAAGGGTTATCAAGTACCCAGAAGCGGTACTATTCAAGTGACCCTACTCAATCCATTGGGTACAGTTGTCAAGATGTTCGTAGTTCTGTATGATCTTTCCGACATGCCACCACGATCTCATACTTTTTTACGTCAAAGAACTTTACGGGATAAAACCCTACGCTACCTCGTACATCTTAGGTATAAATATATTCTATAGCATTCCTTTATCCTTAAACTTTCATTAATATCAATGATATTATTTATATCTAATTTTGTTTTTTTTTTCTTTTCTTTTTTTCTTTTTTTTTTGTTTCTTTTTTATAGATTCATGTCCGGGAAATCAGGCAGGATTTATCTACACACTGACATACGTATGATCATTTGCCGCAAGTCCGATGTAGATACAGCCTCGGATTTTGGATCAGAACCACCAAAGGAACTTAGAAGTTATATTCATGGTCCTACAAATCCAAAATTTTCACCAAGGTGCTGAGCCACGTGGCTCTTTCCATGGGGTTGCTGCCGATCGCTCCGCCCACCTAGTCCCCTTCATGTCGAGGTTTGATTCGCTATGTATGTGACTGCGAGAAGAGGAAACTAAAAGATCTTGTTTTGTTTCTGTTTTTTTTTCTTTCTTTCTTTCTTTCTTTCTTTCTTTCTTTTTTCTTTCTTTCTTTCTTTTTTTTGTTCTTCTTCACATACACACACACACACACACATACACATACACACACACGCGAGAAAGTGGGATCACGTATTAGAAAGAATTTGACGTTGGTACACTAAGAGAGATAATAATAATAATAATAATTATAATAATAATAATAATAATTAATAATAATAATTATTATAATAATAATAATAACAATAACCAATTTGAAAGCTATAGGAGAGTTGATCATATTTACGATCCTTCTCTCTTATTTATGGTATGTTAAAAATATATTTGTGACGTGGGATGTGCTTAGTAGCATTAGCTTGCGATAGTTTCTTCAACATCAATTTTGTTTCTTTTTTTTTTTTTTTTTTTTTTTTTTTTTGAAGGAGGAGAAGTTAGGGATGGCGTGTTGTAAAGTTGGTATGTGTTTTACTTGTTTAAGTTAATATCTGTTACATAGAAGATTGAACGATTAAAATGTTTTCGTTTAGATTTGCACGTAATCGTTAGATTCGCATAACTTACAATTTCTTTCGCTCAAAAATATGTTTTTCTATCAACGTTATTAGTTTCATCCCTATCTTTTTTCTTTTTTTTCTTTTTTTTCTTTTCTTTTCTTTTTTGAAATCGTTGAGTTTGTAACAATTGTGAAGATTTTAAAAAAGGAAAAGGAAAAAAAACGCAAAAAAGAAAATAGAACAAAAAAAAAGGAAAAAAAAAAAAAAATAAAAAACTGTTACTTTCGTTTTATTTCCAAAATATCAGAATTTGTCGCAAGCTATATGATCTCCTTGGGAAGTCTCATTCTTTCAATTTATCTCTGTAAATATAGTCTAATGTAAAGTCAACTAAGATTTTTTTTTTTAAATGGGATAATACTGCCATCTATGTGTGTAGTAACCCTAAACGAGGAAGAAACGAGTGATAAAAATGGGAAATATCAAAATATCGGACCTCTCGTTGAGATATTTTTATCTAATATATACATATAGTAGAAAATTATAAATTTGTGATATAAATGTGTTCTTTATAAATGAATTCGATTTATTCGGTGTTAAATTCAAATTAAATTAAATGTTTCTTTTTGTTTTGTTTTCTTTTCTTTTTTTTTTTTTTTTTATTTTATTATTATTTCTATGTTTATTTTTTTTTTTTTTTCTTTTTAATATTATAGACAAACGGAGAGTAATATATATATATATATATATATATATATATATATATTTATATATATATATATATATTGAGATATATATATATATATATATATTTGAGAATAATATATATACATATATATATATATATATATATATATATATATATATTGTTCATTTTAAAGAGTAGGCAAAATCTTTCCCTTTTGGCATAAATTGCTTTCAGGGAGTGGCCTGGTAATGTGATATTTCCTTATTATAAAGAGGAATCATTATTTACACGTATAAACAGAACACAATTCTTGTGTCCGTAGCACTGTGATGAATATTTTGATAGACTACGAAGAGTAATTATTGTAAAAGAAATATTTGAGTAGATACATATGTTTTAGAAATAATTATATTAACGTCGTATGAGAAACATAATGTAGAGATATAGCTAATCACACTACGATTCCATACTATGTGTCATTGTGATATGGTGTACTATTTCGTATCCATATTGAATAACTAATTACTTTTTTTCCTTATCTTCTCTATCTCTATCTCTATCTCTATTTCTCTTTAAATCGAATTAGAATGAATCAATTTTTTGCTGCGATGGTATAGAAATTTGTCGATAATCGAATAAAATTTAAAAAGAAATATAAATTCGATTTGTGTGAAATTTTATTTTTGTATCATGATAAGTTGACGTATACGAATTCATGAATATTAATTTTAACGTTAGATTGTTTCTCACTTTATAATGGAAACTTATCTGTGTGTTTTTTCTCTTTGTTCTTGTTTTCTCTTTTCTTTTGTTCTTTTTTTTTCTGTTTATACGTGAGAGTTAAAGAGCATTTAAAAATATTAGACAAAAGAAAAAGGAAATTAATTTATATGTATATATATATATAATTATATATATATATATATATTGTATCAGAATCATGATTAATATAATTTTAAAGCGACGCGAATATCTCGTATGTATGAACGTTGAATACAAGTGCAATTTTTTCTGATACTCTGTAATCTTGTAATTTTCTCCCATTTTTATTATATTTCTTTTTCCATTTTTGTCTTCTTTTTTTTCGTTTTTGTACGATTTATTTGCAGGCGTTTTCTATCTGAAATATTGTGCAGCGAAAGAATGTCGATAAAAGAAAAAAAAAAAAAAAAAAAAAGAAAAAAAAAAGGAAAAAAGAAAAAAAGAAAAAAAAGAAGAAAAAAAGAGGAAAAAAAAAGAAAGAAAGAAAAGAACAGAATATGACACATTTGTGATATGAAAAAATATTGATTAAATTAGTAGACGCATTGTTTTAATCTGTAGTAGTGATTTATGCATGTCCCAATTAAATCACAGACCAAAGAAAGAAAGAATAAAAGAAAGAAAGAAGGAAGGAAAGAAATAAAGAACGGTAAAAAAAGAAAAAAGAAAAGATAATAATGAAAACTGTGATTTATCACTTGGAATCAAGAAAATTTTACAATCTGTAGTGTGTATGTCAATGAATCGTGGGGTATAGTACCACTGCCATATGCTGTATATGTATACTATAGCATAGATAACAAGTAGTATCTTCATTGAACTTCAATAATATTACTCTCTTTTTTGCAATGATACCTGGTCATGTTCTTTAATATCACAAATTACAAACAGTGGATGAATATACATATATATATATATATATATATATATATATATATATATATGAATTATAATGTTAAAAAAAAAAGAAAGAAAAAAGAAAAAAAAACTATTTGACGATTCCATGCTAATTATTTCCTGATCACTCAGATGCTTAATATAGCTGTGTAAAATTTCATTATAAAAATGTATTTAATTTTCATACGACAACAACAACAACAACAACAACAACAACAACAACAACAACAACAAAACATGCAATCTTAAAAATACCTCTTGAACTTGTACGTATGATGATAAACAATAAACAAGATTGTATTTTTCGAGTTAAAAAATGACGAATCGTGTACTCTTTTTGGATATAGAAAAAAATGCTAATAAATATTGTGATAAATTAAACGCGAGTGATATACATAGATGTAGTTTCATATATGAAGTTACAGTAACATACATATTTCCTTGTTATCGACGACAAAATACTTTTATAGTGCCAAATTTAAAGGAAAAAAAGAAAGAAAAGAAAGAAAAAAAAATATTCAAAACCTTAAAGATCATTGTTTTGTTTAATTGCGTCTATGAAATATTTTTAATTTCTTATATTCTTTTTTCTTTTTTTTTTTTTTTTCTTTTTTTTTCTTTTTTCTTTATCGTCTGAACTTGACTTTTTCTTTTATATTTATTAACTGAAATTTCTTGCCGTTGGAATAATTTGTTCTTTTATTTTGTTTTTCTTTATTTTTTTTTTCTTTTTATCATTTTTTATTAAAACATAATAACAATATATCGAAAGATAAGGCAAACAATTTTTTTAAAAGAAATCTTGATGTGTGTAGTGGCACTTTTATATATATATATATATATATATATATATATATATATATAAAATTGCAAATAATAGAAAGCAAAGGATAATTACGTCATATCGTAAAAAAAATTATGTAAAAAAAAAAAGAAAAAAAAAAAAAAGAAACAAAGAAATCAATTGCCGAAACACCTGTACGCATAAATCAAGACAGGTATGTATATAGGAAACAATTATTTTATAAAATCAAATATTGTTATATCACTAAAATGTAATTTTTATTATTCAAAATGAGAAAAAGATGTACGAGTATATATAGAGGAAATTTATTATTTTCAATCTTGTTATGCATGGCCAAGAAACACATAATAAAAATACAGCGACGTATAAATTCATTGAAAGTTTTAATTACTTACCAACGATAAGAAGCCAAATCCATGTTGAAGTATATATTAATCCCATATATAAAAATTATGAAACCAAAAGAAAGGAAAAAAAAAGAATCTATTGTAATTTCTTTATTAACAATGTTTTACAATATCATGCTATACGCATGAAGATCTCTCTATATGGTTTGTCGTAATAAGTACTATAATCTATGACAATTTTATAATTCATTATTACAATAATTATAATCTATCATATATATATACATATACAAAACACGGTATTTTTGTGAGCTTGTCTCTCAAATTATATATATTAAAAAAGAAAAAAAAAAAAAAAAAAATATATATATATATTTTTTTTTATATTCCTTATATATATATATATATATATATATATATATATATATATATATATATATATATATATATATATATATATATATAAAGAACGAGAATAAAAACAGGAAACCATTTTGAAAATAACAAACGTACACATTCTCGTTTAATTTCGTACGATATAAATTAGATAGAAATTTCTATTTTTTCTCTTTTTTCCCGCGAGTACGTCGCGGTTATATAGACTTTAAAATAAAAGTAAAGGTAAAAATTACAATTTAAAAAAAAAAAAAAAAAAAAAGAAAGAACAAAGAAATAGAATAATAAAAAAAAAAAAAAAAAAAAAACTTACACATTTACTAGTAAAAGTTCTTTTGGTATTACCACGTACGGTACTCCACTTCCGAAAAAAAAAACAAAAGAAAAAGAAAATAAAGAACGATATATGATATGATATTTAACAAATAAATGATGGATCTCTGGAATATTATGCTTGTGTTTTTTCTTCTTTATGCCAAGTAATAGTTAAAAAAAAAAAAAAAACTACAGTCCTGTATTTACTTTCGGAATCTTACAAGAACGAAGTTTATCGCATTTTATAAAAACGACAGTTTCTGCAATATCTTGATGAGCTTCCTTCTTATAAAATGTCATTATTAAAAATTGAGGTATCATTGAAAATATTCAACTTTTTCATCATTTATTATTAGATGAATTATTACTATGATAGAAAATACTTTCTGTGTGGGAGACTTAATGCGACTCTCTTCGACTTCATTCGAAGTATATACACGACATACAGGCTACACGTAAAATTATAATTTTAATATTATTACATCCGATATTAGTATCATAGTACTAATATGGTATTAACGATTAACAAGTTTTAGCTGTCTAACAGTTAAAAATTAAAATTGCCTACTACATCACAGTCAGCGTTTTGTGGTTATCATTGTAGAATCCACAAAAGTAATAATGGTTCCTAATATTCATCAATGCCGTTTAAATTTATCCCTTTTTTTTATTTTTATTATTTTTTTTTTTTTGTTGCGATAAAAGAGAAAAACAAAAAATGCATTTTAAGTTATAAAAATGCTCAATACGTCATTGTTAATAAAGTAAGAGGAAAAAAGATAAATGATCGAGTAAGCAAAAATTATATTTAATTAAGTATATCAATAATTCTTACGTTTTGCTCACTATGCGATCCATCGATGACAATGATTATTTGAAATTGTTAAAAAAAAAAAAAAAAAAAAAAAAAAGGAAGAAATAAATAAAAATCAGTTGGATACTCTCAGAAATAAGAATGAACAGGTCGAATTATAACAATCAATTGGCAGATCTGTCACTTTGACTTGATATGTAACATCTCGTGATAGCGATGCTTAATGTGAGACGTAAAAATAGAAAAACCTTTTTTTTTCTTCTTCTTCTTCTTCTTCTTTTCTTCTTTAATTTATACCGTGACTCCATTTCTGACAGGGACTAAGGTACTATCAAGATAACGTCCAATGCAGAACTAATAATCAAAGATTTTTCATCTCAGATCGCTAATATCTATATCGCAACTATTGACATTTTTCTCGTCGAAGCTCATTTCGAGGTATCTAACTGAACGGGGAAAAAAAAAAAAAAAAAAAAAAAAAATCAGGGTGGTGGGTGGACTACGCGTCATAGTACGAAAATTAATTTGAATAAAACGTCAGGCGTTTTATCAACTCTTTTTTTTTCTTTTTTTTTTTTTTTTTCTTTTAAATGAAATAAAATTTCGTTAGCAACGACCGGCCTCCATATCGTGAGGTAATCTATGTCCTTGAGTATAACTCATTCTAAGTTGTCTAGTGGCCATACCGCCACCGCATTGGCTGCTCCAATCAGCCGTAGGAACTGGAGTACGATAAAACTTCGAAGAAGTCTTATTGAATATAGGTAACAATTCGTTTGCCTCGTTCGAAAGAGCCTGTGAAATATAGAGAATACTAAATCAATAAGCTCCTTCATTAAGTACATATCTATCTACGTAAATAAACATTATATTCTCATTCTTCTCGAATAAGAAATGCGCTTACCTTCAGATAAATGATCGCATCGGTGCCGTAACCTTCGCAGCTGAGCAAAACGATGTCACCATGAAAATACCTAGCGTATAAACGAGATAGAGGAAGACCATAACCATAACCAGCGAGAGGGACAGTATGTGCATCCGACTTGCTTGGCTGAGGCGCGGTACTATACATGTACTTAAAAAGATGATCCATATGCGAACGAGGTATGCCACCGCCACGGTCAGATATCTAATAAAATTCGACAGTGAACTAACCGATTCCTCCGAATCTCCATTCTTTTTCATAGTAATCAACTATCTCTCCTAACTCTAATCACCTTCACGCATATATCCTCTTTTCCACGTACAACAGTCACATCGATCGGCGGATAATCGTCTGATTCCGATCCGTGATATTCCATTATTGCTCTCATACTATTCTTGAATATTTCAAAGAGCATGTGATACAAATGACTTGGTACGTAAACGATTCGTATTTCGTTACCTCGTTCAAGTTCTAAAAAGAAAATGATAAAAGAATAAATTTATCGTAAAATTACGATTAAGATAATTCATATCTCTTTAATTTTTATATGTTAGAAAGTTCTATTTCGTAATCGGCATATCATTTTCTATATGTTATCGCATTATTATCTCGAGAAAATACTCTATAATACCTATTAAAGAAAATGATACAAATTATCTCGATTTACTTACTAGCGTTACTCTAGAAACAATCAACATTTTTCAAACTTGCCATTATGTTGCTTCACGTTTAATGCCGGACTAGACAGATAATATTGATCGCATAGAAACTGTGCATTCTCGTAGGCATCTTTGATAACACTGATAACATCGCACGACGGATCTATGCATCCTATGTGTCTGCTGTGACCGTTCAACAACCCACCAAATAGAAGCGCTGAAATGAAATATTAAGTTATATTAATACATTTATTTGCATGATCAACGAAATTATATCAAAATAGAATAAGTTCAATAAACGTACTGTGCTGATTGATGAGCATACGAATAGAAATTCGTGACATGAAAAATCTATCGAGGAAATACTGGATGCTGTTCTCCGTTTGAATATCAACGTCGTAAGAATCCTTCAGCTCAAGAACACCCTGGGACATCGTTTGGACAACGTCGCTATGCCTGTTTCGGATTTTGATCAAAGCTTGACAAAATCTATGAACAGATAGAGAGAGAGAGAGAGAGGAAAAAAAAAGAAAGAAAAAAAGAATAAATTGATAATAGAAATGATCAATGAATATTAATATTTTTAAATGAAATCACAATGAATCTACTCACTTATCCAAAGTGGTATCGTTAACCTCAGACTTTTCAAAGTGTATAATTTCCTCAAACGAAGTGACGTATAAATTATTTACTATTACGACACTAGGAGTTTTCAATAAATTATCGGGTAACAGATGGATCTCTTTCATGATATTAGCGAGTCGTACCGGTAGCTCCTTCCTTAAGAATATAAAAGACTTCCTTTCGCATGCGCTTAGTCCTGAAAAAAAAAAAAAAATAAGAATAGAAGGATAAAGAGAAAAGTTGAATAAATTTTCCCTTCCTTCGCATTCATTCACATTCTAGAAAATCTTTTAATTGCGATGGATTTTTTTTCTTTTATTTTTTTTCTTTTTGTTTTTTTTTTTTTCTTTTTTTATTCTTTTTT